CTCGCGGAACGCCCCGATGTGCGAGGGTGACCTTATGGGGTTCGTATCCCCAATAGTGTGTTCTGTGTATGTTTGATATTCTGTTCTGTGCTTTCAGAACTGACTATCGAAGTGAAGGTTTGTTTTGCCTTGTTACCAGCCGGCCCACCTCCCCCCATGGTCTGGTGTCTAGGAGAGGCCGGTGCTAGCTTGCTTTTTGCTTGCTTGCTTTGCTTGCTTCTGCTTTTACCTTTGCTTCCTAGTTAGTTTAGCTAAGCAGTCCAATTCTTTCCCTTTCCCTTTCCCTTTCCCTTTCCCTTTCCCTTTCCCTTTCCCTTTCCCTTCCTTTCCTTTTCCTGAATACTATCCAACCTGCTCTGGACTGGAAACACCGAGGAGCACCAAGCCCTGCACTCTGTGATCTGCAGCAGCCATCCCCAGTGCCCAGAGCAATCCCCAGTGACCACCCCCAGGAGAGACTTTCTGGATTTGTTCATCTCTTCAGAGTGGTCAAAGAGTTTTGTTGTCATCTGGTGTTGCTAATTGTTTTGGTGCTGGGGAGTGCTTTGTTTGTTAAATAAACAGGTTCTTTTCCACTTCTCTCAGAGAACATTTTTCCCGAACCTGGTGGGTGAGGAGGGGCTGTGGGGGTTTGTTTTCTGGGGGCTCCTTCCAGGGGGTTTTCCCCAAATTTGCCCTAAACTAGGACACCCAACAACACCCAGAGCAAGGGGGTTCCTCCCAAAAATCCTGCCTGCCCTTCTCCTCTGAGGTGGTTTGTTGCCCTGACTCTTAAGATTTTATAAAGCTTTTTGAGTTTATATTCTTGTAGAGAACTTTCTCACACAACTTTATGTAAATAATCTATTGTTTTGCATTCTTCCATAGAGGCGGAGAAATTTGCTGTACTAATAATTTGTCCAATGTCGTTGGAGAGGTGGCACATTCACCCTCCAATCCACTGTCACCTTTGGAAAAGTATAAATGCTGGAGTCAGAAAATAAACTTCCTCTTTTTCACCTTTACAATAGCAGCAGCTCACATCGGGCTTTCACGTGTCCTTTAGTAACAGTGGTTCAGCTCCAGTTCCGAGATGGAGAAGTTTCTTTCTCCTTTCAAGCAATGCTGCATTTAAAATGAGGGTAAACATGAAAAATAAATAAATATATCCTGTGGACATTGTACATATGTTTGCCAGTAGGGCCGGAAAGTTATGTAGCCTAGGGTAGGTGAGTTTTGTTTCCTTTTTTTTTTTAATGTTTCTGTGGGTTTTTGTTATGTTATTTTTGTATAGTTATATAATGTATATATAAAACTATATATAGTAATATATATGTATATATAGTTTCCACGTCCCCGCCCACAACTCCACATATAGTTCTTTTTTTACTATCTTTTATTTTTAATAAATTAGATGACAGCTAGGGACATAGGGCAGCCACAAGCCAGTTAGGGGGCTGATAGTGATTAGGGACAGAACCTATTATTTCATAATACATCAATTTAAAACTGAACTGGACCACATTACCAAACTTGTCCAAGGTGGATGGGCCACCTTTATTTAACCCGGAAAAGGAACATATATTATTTATATGTGTTTGAAAAATACAGTTTCGAGGGATTCTGAGCTGGCTGGGTTTTATCAGTTTTGGAAAAGAACGCTTTATTTTGGAGGAAAAGCTTGCAGCAAGGCCAAAGCACAACCCGCAGCACAGAGCAGCTCCATGTTTGGGTACCAGGGTAGCATCCTTGAAAAGTGCTGCTCCATAAACCACTGGTTTTGTGGGATGTGAGGCTGGGGGAGCCAAGGCAATGGATGTGTGTATGAGGAAGCAGCTCTGTTGAAGAGCAACAGAAACTTCACAGAAAATTTCTTTCTGTTTGGAATGGAAATGGGGTTGAGAACAAAACACTTGAAGAGAAGCCAGAGCCTTAAGGTATCTCCACAAAGGCAGTTTGGTACTTGGTATGCCTAAAATGTTGCTCATTTTGTCTCCCCTAAAATTCAGTAATGCTCTGGAGCAGAGCTTTGCAGCCCAGCACGCTGAGGGCTGCAGTAAAACCTTGCAGTTTGGGTGCACCTGTGGAAAGAACATTTCTGGGGGGTGATGCTTTAACCATTTCAGGAATTTAAGGCAGAAGGGGGCCCACATCCCAACCCAGGGTGGTTCTGTCACAAACTCCCCATGCAACGAGCTTCATTCCTCCCCAGTCTGTTTTTTTCCTTATTAACCTGGAGTTATTCTTTAATCATCAGCATGAGGAGCCAGTGCCAGGGGAGGCTGCCCTGGGTTTCTCCACGACATTGACCTCCCTGCACAGCTCGTGGGGCAGTAAAAGGGTTGAGCTGCCCTCGGGGGTGTGTTTCTCAGTGGGGTATGACCACCTCAGCATGGGGACACTCCATGTGAGCCATGTCCCCAGCTGACCCGAGGGGAAGGCCACGCTGACCACTGCCACGAGCACTGCATGCACTCTCCGAGGCAAACAGCCAGGACAGCTCTCAGGGAAAGCCTTGGCACCACAAGTCTCCAAATAAGCAGATTATTTCTAAAATTTACTCCAGAGGTTAAAGGGCACAAGCACCTGCATGGTCAAGCTGGGGACTGAGTTCATCCAGCTGTGCCTCAGTTTCCCCACTGATAATACTGACTCAGCACTTTCCAGGGAAGGATTTGGCTAAAGGTTGAGATGGACTTTGAATGCACAAATTCCAGCAGGCAGTTTAAACAGACACGTGGTTGTTCTCATGCCCAGCATAAGGCTTTGTTTTTGTGCTGTGTGACTGGGTTGGATCACTGGTTGGGTTTCAGGGCCCTGACACTCCCGACCCATTTGCTCCCAGCCCTGCCTGCCTACACAGCATGGAGACTTTCAGGGCACAGGCCTGGGAGATCTTCCTGGCCTGGAAGGGAATGACAAAGGCTAAAAATTCAGTGCTTCAGACGTGAAAAGTCACTTTTGTTTTAGTGTAGCCTGTGTCATCTCTCAGGTTCCTCCTCAGCTCCCTAGAGATGTATTCCTGCATCCTCCAACCCCCCTAATAATGCACAGAGCAATTAGAGTGCATTGATAGAAAGATTATATTCTACAATGGATTATATTCTCCTCAGCAGGTACAGGATGGCTGAACAGGCTAATTGCCTTAATTAACGATAGAGCAGAAATGAACAAACCTGCCCCGGTCCCTTTGTGTAATTACACTGCTTACACCCACATTTGGGGCTGCTTTTAAAGGATCACCTCATTAAGCAGATAACACTGGGGGTGTGATGCTGCCCCCACAGCCATGAGGGGTGAACTGGGGCTTTGCTACTTCAGGGGGATTAATCTCCAGCAAATCGTGCCTTGTTCTGCTTTTCCTCTCAAAATCAATTCTATTTTGCCTTAATGATGCAGCAGGAGCAGCATGGGTAGGGCAGAGCAGCCAGGGGAGACTGAGCAGCCAGTCTGGTTTCCCAGGACAAAGCCTGTTCATATCAGGTGTGTTGAAAAGAGGAACATACATTTCATTTATATTGATCAAGAAATGATACTTTTAAAGTGAGCAGATGACAAGATTTGGATAGATTTTTCTCTTTGGTTTTTCTCTCATTAGAGCCTCTAGGCTAGAGCCTAGGACTGCAAGGCTCTCCAGTTTGCTTTTGAGCAAGGTTTCTGTGCTTTTTTTTTTTTTTTTTTTTT